GTATCCTATCTCTAAGGGTAAAGCCACTCATCCACCTAAGCATCCTCTTCTCTGCAACACTTACCTAAAGTTTGAGGGGGGCTTTTCTATCGCACAACAAGCACGAATCATTCCTCCACTTCAACCATCCAACTTGAATTTTGCTGATAATATCCTCATCTATTTCACCATCACTCTGAGCAATAGATCCAAGATATCTAAAATGTATACTCTTATTAATGACTTGATTGCCCAAAGCCATATTCCCCTCGCTAGGTGTATTGCTACTAAAATTACACTCCATATATTCAGTTTTAGATCTACTCAAGCAAAAACCTTTATATTCTAAGGTTGACCTCCATAATTCAAGTTTACCTTCAACTCCCTCTCTTGTCTTATCGACAAGAAGAATATCATCAGCAAAAGGCATACACCAAGGTACATCTTCACGCAAATGTCTAGTGAGAACATCGATGACTAAAGCAAGAAGATATGGACCTAAGGCCGGTCCTTGAGGTAATCCAACCGAAATAAGAAAATACTTAGGCTTCGTTTGGGACGACTTTTTTATTGCTTTTTAAAACGGAGTTGTAGTACAAATTTTTTAATTTTTGTACTAAAACTTCGTTTTCAGAAGCAATAAAAAAGTCGTCCCAAACGAAACCTTAGTCAAACCACCTTGTGTTTGAACACAAGTAATAGCTCATGCTTACATATCTTTAATGATTTGAATACAAGCATTATTAACTCCTTTCTTTTCAAGAACTCTCCATAGTACTTCTCTTGAAATTTTATCATATGCTTTCTCTAAATCAATAAATATCATATGTAGATCCTCCTTATTCTCTTTATATTCCTTCTTAAATTTTTTACTAGAAAGCTAGTTTAGAAAGCAACAAAAAAGCGGTCCCAAACGAAGCCTAAGATTATTAAAGCTAATCTGCAAATAAAGAATAACTTGATGATCTAATTTAATAACTTTTTATGAAAATTGGGCCATTGATAAAGCATGATAAAGAAGATATAGATGACTTGCAATGTCCTAAGTATTGTCACCACATATTTTCTTAAGAATATCTCATCATTTTAGAAAGTTAGTATTATATCACCCTACGGACACAATACCAAGCCAGAAATTTGGTTGCCGAAGACCAGAATAATGCAAGCATTGCCTAGAGTTAAACCAAAAAGTCGAACATGTTGATCGAAGCTCAACTATTTGGTTGCCGAAGAACTCCATTCATATGAAGTACCATACCTGCAATTTTGGCTCCTAATTGGAGATTTAGGTTTCATTTGGAACAGATTTTTTATTGCTTTCTAAAGCAACTTCAATTAATCTTTCTTTATTTACTGAACTAAAAAAATGATTATGAAAAAGAGGTGCCAAGCAAAAGAATTAATTATCTACTTCTATTTCTATGCCCCTTTTTCAGTTGTTTTCTTTTCATTCCTATGAAAAAATTTGTACTAAAAAGTTGCTTTACAAAACAATAACAAAGATGTACCAAACAAAACCTTAAGTTCTTCGTTTAAGTTATCAACTTCTATGCAAGCTTCATGTCCCCTAACAAGCAATTTCCTACAAAGTGCTATTGTAGCAGACAAGTGAGATTTCATGCTAAGGCATGACTTCCTAGATAAAGTTCATAGAGGTCTAGGTTTTTTTTATCCTCTTAAGACGAATAATTTTTCAATCCATCACATTTGTTGAGACGATTGTAATTATCTATAAAATTAGTTACTGAAATTGATGTGGAAAAAATACAGTTTTAGAAAGCTAACGTATGTATGAAAGAATTTTCCCCTTCAAAGAAAGTTGCACAACAATTTTGTCATAGCAACCACAATCTAACCTATTTGGTTGTGAAAAGCTCCTTTTTATCATAATAATTTCTAAAAAATAATAAAAAATTTATAGCTAAATAAAAATTGGGCAGCAATCTATAAAAAATCTATCAATAGATTCTCTCAAATGCACCCTAAGTTCATCATTATAAAATTCGTTTTATGAATCTTTTATTTCTGTCACTAAGCATATTGAAACCAATGTTTTGAATAATTGACATTTATAAAACTTGTCAACCTCGGCATCATTTGAAATAAGCTAACAAGCAAACCAAATCTACTAAACTCAAGGAATTTCCTAACTATAATGACGCCCCAACTTTTATTTAAAAGATAACATAAAAACAATATTCTGGAGGGAAGGTTTACCAATCGAGTCATGCTATCGAATTCTTTAATGGCTTCAGTAAACTTTACAACATCTTCCTCATCCATTGAAGCTGCTAAATCCTGCATCGTAAAACACATTATAAGAGAGCACCATAATGATAAAAATTTCTTTTTTCCTCCAGAGCAGATTATATTAGACAAGAACAAACAAACATAATGCATTGCCAATGCCAGGATAGAAGAAGCACCTTTTACGTAATTAAAATCTCAAAGAATTTAAGAAAATGCGTTTGCAACTTACAGCCAAAAGTTTGTATTCCCGTGTGCCTGAAAAAGTTGGATCGAGGTCCTGCACAGGAAAGAGTTGGTTTAGAACGGTACTGGAAAATCATTGGACACCAATCATAATATAGGAGTAAATTCTGACCTGATATCTCTCGAGTGCATTATTAATTGCAACAATGTCGCCTTTACAAATCTCACAGATACCAGAATTAAGGAGAATTCCCTTTACACCATACTTGAGAAGACTGTTGTTAATCGAGTGCCTTGCTATTCCTTCAAAAATCTCAACAGCTTTGGGGTATCTGGAAAATTTTCCTCTTTTTTTTACCATAAGGTACTACTACGAGGTTTTAAAATAGAATTTCCAACTAAAATACAAGCAGTTATCTATTAAAAACTTGATGAAAGTCAATTAAAATAGCCCAATGCTGAATTTCACAAGCATAGTAGAAGATACTGTCGTAATCAACATTCTCGGCAGCAAGAGGAAATTTTGAACTGAAAGAAAAAAGCATTTCTTTCCTACAACGTACAATTTTTTTAAATGTTAAAGAATGGAATTAACGTTAAAGCTCAAATCTTTGTTGAACATTTATTTGAGCCACAACTCCCATCACTTTTTAAACATTATTTTCCTTCCATTTTAGGCTAAATCCAAGATTTAGACAATTTTGGGAGTAGTATTTAACCAATTTACACCACGCCTCCATTTAAATGTTAAATCTAAAAAATATCAGCCAAATCATTTATTAGGATTTAATTAAATTTAACATCTATCATGCCAAAAATGTTTCAGGGTTTTAACGCCTCCAAAATTTATTACAACAACAACAATAACAATAACAAACTTTGACCCACTATTTGGGGAGCTCTAAGATTTTCTAAATTGAGATTTATAAGATTCGCTAAATCCTACTTCTAAGTGATCAACTAATCAACCCAGAAGTTTCTGGTAAGTCTTATTTGTACTCTACTATAAACAGAAGTTCTTTCAACGGCTACTAGTCCTGTATCAGAGTTCGGTGATGTTGCTATCAGAAGAATTCCACAGAGGTTTTTAAGAGGTTCATGTAAATGAGTTTGGATCCAGTAGCTGTTCGATCCTTGTGGCCGTTTGGTTCCATGGCTTTAGTGGTGCTTCTCCTCTGCCTGGATTCACATGTGTAGCTTACGATGTCATTTCAGCAACCTAAAGATCATTTTATTTACACGATTTCATTCCAGGAAAATCCAGCGACTATCTACCCAAGGGAAACGATGTGCTTATAAATACTATATGAGATATATAAAGAAAATTATTTTGCTTAAAGATATTTTCAGTTCTTTCAAATCTTGTGTGTTTGTTTGGTTGGACACTGATTCCTTCAAATATGGTACAAGAGTTATCATTTTTTTAGGAAAGCCATCATCAATGTGAGGTTTGAATTTCTATATTTGGTGATCACATTACTCTTTTTTATCATTATAATTTGATCTTGCAAGTGTTATGGATTTTAATCAAATTAGCTATAATTGATTTTCTAAGTGGGGTGTGAATTCCAATTGAAATATCAAATTATAATTTTGGGTTGCTTTAAATTTTGGCTGAATTTCTTTGGTTTGATTAATCATTAAATTATTACTTGACACAATTTTCTCATATTTCATGTTTACATCAAAAGAAGATGAAATTGGCGAACAAATCGCCTGTTTCGCGATATTCGCCCGTGAACCGGTCCCGCCTGGACCGGCTCCAGTGGACCGGTCTAACAGAATTTTCTTTTAATTGATGGAATTCAGAGCTACAAATTCCTAAATCCAATTGGTGTGTTTTCATATATCATATCATTTAGTTGCATTGGAAACACTAGCCCCTTAGATGTCATGCATCAATTGGTATCAAAGCCTAAGATTGTATTACCATTTTAAAAAGAAATAAAGCAAATTAATTTAAATAAGCCAAAATCAATTATAACTCAGACATTTTGACCTTCATATAAAGCCAAAATCAAATGAGAACAAGCCCGAGGAGTGCGACGAGTAACGGGCACAATGTGAGTATCAAGCTTCAAAGCACCACGATCATTCAATGGAAAAACGGATCGCACCGATGCATTCATGATGTTGAATTTACCTAAGGAGAGTCAGTCATTCGCAACTCAAGCGAAGGTGAATGGAAGTAAAGGTTGTGATAGGAAATACTTGATTTCAAGTATTTCCTAATCACTTTAGCAACAAATCTCACAGCAAACTGCTGTCCACAGTAGGAGAACAGCCAAAAAACAGTAGGAAAACAGGGAAAAACTGCAGAAAAACAGAGAAAAAACTTGTATTTTACTAGTAGTTGCAAGGAAAATAGCAAAGATACAAGGATCCTCTATTCGAGAGGAGGATCGCACTCTCCCAATCTCTAGAATTCGATCTAGAGCCCTAGCCACCAAAGAAGAACAAGAAATCTCTTAATAGGCCACTGCTCCAATTTTTTCCAACACTTCGTAAGGACCGAAGTACCTTGGAGCAAGTTTCTCATTTCTCCGGTTGGCGATCGTTTTCTGTCGATATGGGCAGAGTTTCAAAAATACCTTCTCGCCCACCTCAAACTGAATATCCTTCCGATATCCACCAGTCTGTTTCTTCATAATCTGTTGAGCTCTCAACAAATGTCTTTTTAACTCTTCCAGTGTCTTATCCCTCTCCTCCAAATACTCCTCTACTGAAGACACGGGTGTGCTGCTACTCCCAAAATGCACCAAGTGGGGCGGGTCCCTTCCGTACAACACCTTAAATGGAGTCATCTGAGAGGCTGAATGAAAAGAGGTGTTGTACCAGTACTCGGCCCATGATAGCCATTTAGCCCATTGCTTGGGTGTTTCTGATGCGAAGCATCTCAGATAAGTTTCCAAGCTCCTGTCGACTACTTCTGTTTGGCCATCCGTCTGTGGGTGGAACGTCGTACTTCTCTTTAGCACTGTTCCCTGCAGTCTGAACAATTCCTTCCAGAAATGGCTGAGGAACACTTTATCTCTGTCTGATACTATCGCCTCTGGTACTCCGTGTAGTCTGACTATTTCCTTGATGAAGACTGACGCTACTGTCACCGCGGTGTATGGATGGCGTAGAGGAATAAATGAGCATATTTGCTCAATCTATCCACTACCACCAAAATCACTGTGAATCCCTCAGAGCGGGGTAGCCCATCAATGAAGTCCATAGATATCTCCTCCCAGACTCGTCCTGGTAATGCCAAAGGCTGCAGTAACCCCTTGGTGACATAGCTAGATACTTATTTCTTTGGCAGATCTCGCACCTGGATACCATCTCTTCCACATCTCTGTGCATACCTTTCCAGTACAACTCTGTCGCTAGTCTCCTATAGGTCTTTAGCACTTCTGAATAACCTCCCACTGCAGTTCCATGGAACTCCTGGAGCAATTGTGGGATGTGTACTGACGTTCTGGGCAGCACAAACCTCCCCTGATACAACAATCTCTCCCCCTCCAATGAGTACACTGGATGGCCTCCCTCTTCCTTCACTAAATCAGCTCTGATCTTGTTTAATTCCTCATCTTTAGCACTCTCCTCCTTTATGGCTTCCCAATCTAGCATCATTGGGACTGACACAGCTACTGTCTGCAGCTCACCCATGCACCTGGACAAGGCATCTGCTGCCTTATTTTCTACCCCGGGCCTGTACTGAATTTCAAAATCATACCCGAGCAGTTTTGATAGCCACCTCTGATGCTCCTCTATCACCATGCGCTGCTCCAGCAAATACTTCAGGCTCCGTTGGTCGGTCCGGAGGATGAAATGCCTTCCAAGTAAGTAGGGACGCCACTTTTGGATGGCCAAAACAATTGTCATCAATTACAGATTTCAGACGGGCTCTAGCAGTCAACACTTGGCTAAAATAAGCAATGGGCTTGTGACTCTGCATCAGCACTGCTCCTAGCCCGTATCCTGATGCATCTGTCTCCACTATAAAGGTCTGAGTAAAATCTGGTAAAGTTAAGACCGGAACTGTGGTCATAGCTTTCTTCAACTGCTCAAATGCTGTCGTAGCTACCTCCCCCCATAAGAATCCATCTTTCTTCAACTGCTCAATGAGTGGCCAAGCTATAGTGTTGTATCCCTTCACAAATCTTCTGTAGTACCCTGTAAGCCCTAGGAATCCCCTTAGCTCCTTTAGATTTTTGGGCAATGGCCACTTAAGCATGGCTTCAATCTTGAACTGATCTGCTGCTACCCCTTCCTTGGATACAACATGACCAAGGTACTCCACACTAGCTTATGCAAAGCAGCACTTCTTCAAGTTAGCTCTCAGCTGGTGCTCCTGGAGAACCTCTAACACCTTCAAGTGCCCCCAGTGCTCTTCCTCTGTTCTGCTATATACTAAGATGTCATCGAAGAATACCAAAACAAATCGCCTCATATACTGCTTGAAAATCGTACTCATGAGTGCCTGGAAAGTGGCTGGAGCATTGGTGAGGCCAAAGGGCATCACCAGGAACTCATAGTGGCCCTCATGAGTTCCAAAAGCTGTCTTGGACACATCTTCTTTCTTTATTCGAATATGATGGTATCCAGATTTCAGGTCGATCAAGCTGAAAATCACCGTTCCACTCAATTCATCCAACAATTCGTCAATCACTGGTATGGGAAACTTATCAGGTACCGTTTTCTTGTTGAGTGCGCGGTAGTCTACGCAAAACCGTCAACTGTCATCCTTCTTCTTTACCAATAGAACAGGACTAGAGAACGGGCTGGTGCTGGGCCTGATGATCCCTGCTTCCAGCATTTCTCTGATCAACTTTTCTATTTCATCCTTTTGAAACTGAGGGTAACGGTAAGGTCGCACGCTGACCGGCGACACTCCCTCCCTTAATGTGATGGCATGCTCCTGCTCCCTGGGTGGTGGCAACCCTAGAGGGGGTTGAAAAACCTCCTCGAACTCCTGGATCAAAGGCTGCACAGAGAGGGGTATGTCTCCCCCTTCCTCCCCACTCGCTCCCTCTAAGCTGTGTAATTCCACCAAGTAGTCGTCTCCTTCTTCCTGAATTATCTTGATTAGGGATTTCAGAGAAACCCCTGCCTTGGTCAGCCCTGCATCCCCTTGAATCACCGTTTTCCTTCCACCCTTCACCAACTCCATCCGCAGTGTGCCCCAATTGATTTTGGTTTTCCCTAAAGTCTGCAACCACTTCATCCCTAGGATGACATTCGTACTCCCCAGTTCCAGAGGAAGGAAGTCTTCCTTCACTTGTATGCCTTGAATTTTCAGCACCACTCATTTGCAGATTCTTCTTCCCATTTCTACCTTCCCGGT